TATAAACACACACACATATATATATACATACATATATATATATATATATATATATGTAGTTTAATATTTACACACATGCATAAACCTATTTGGATCTCCTATATGCTCATTAACCCATTATATCATCTTTTAGCAAATGACTCATGACACCTCACCTGCGGGTGGCAGCTGTACCGAATGCGCTGACAATGTGCGTGCGTCATGGCCGCTCATGGACCGCCTGGCTGCCACCAAAAGGTACTGTCACGTAAAACACATACTTGCTATGGTTATACTACTTGTTATACGTATATTACTTATAATACTGATATCCAATACTTGTAATACTTGACAATATTCATATTACTTATTATACTTATAATACTGATAATACCTACAATACCTTTTATAACATAATACTTTTGGTAATATGTATATCCCTAATTGTCCACATACGTACCAATCTATATGTGCAGGCCCTCCTCATTCACGGCTCATTTCGTATGTATGAGGGTTTCCTGTGTTGTATACGTACATCACTGAGTAACTGTTCTTCATTTCTGTAATATACTATTTAGTTCTCTATACATATTCTAGTACATCACTGAGTACCTGTTCATTATTTCACTGAGTACCTGTTCTTTATTTCTCTATTATACTATTTAGTTCTCTATACATATTCTAGTACATCACTAAGTACCTGTTCATTATTTCACTGAGTAACTGTTCTTCATGTCTCTATTATACTATTTAGTTCTCTGTACATATTCTAGTACATCACTAAGTACCTGTTCATTATTTAACTGAGTAACTGTTCTTCATTTCTCTATTATACTATTTAGTTCTCTATACATATTCAAGTACATCACTGAGTACCTGTTCATTGTTTCACTGAGTACCTGTTCTTTATTTCTCTATAATAGTATTTAGTTCTCTATACATATTCTAGCACATCATTGAGTACCTGTTCATTATTTAACTGAGTAGCTGTTCTTCATTTCTCTATTATACTATTTAGTTCTCTACACATATTCAAGTACATCACTGAGTACCTGTTCATTATTTCACTGAATACCTGTTCTTTATGTCTCTATTATACTATTTAGTTCTCTATACATATTCTAGCACATCACTGAGTACCTGTCCATTATTAAACTGAGTAGCTGTTCTTCATTTCTCTATTATACTATTTAGTTCTCTATGCATATTCAAGTACATCACTGAGTACCTGTTCATTATTTAACTGAGTACCTGTTCTTCATTTCTCTACTATACTATTTAGTTCTCTATACATATTCAAGTACATCACTGAGTAGCTGTTCTTCATTTCTCTATTATACTATCTAGTTCTCTATACATATTCTAGTACATCACTGAGTAACTGTTGTGTTGGGTTGCATCCAGCCTCCTTCTGTACTGCTCACCCGTCTCCCCTTTACTTCTCTATTATACTATTTAGTTGTCTATACATATTCTATTTATAGTATTTGTTCTATTTATATCTCTAAATATAAATAAGGCAGCCAATTCACCTGTTGTATAGTCTATTTGTGTATGGTCATTGCGTGCGAAGGTTTCAGTGTTGAGCGACTATTAAACCTTGTCCTTTACCACAGACACTCAACTGTTTTAGGGGTTTAGGGTGTAGGGTTTTCTTGGCCAATGACCCTCACCTGTCTCATTGACTTCAGTAGTTCACACAACGTGCGCATGCGCTGCACATCTTTATCCGCAAAATACAGACATGTGACTAGATATGTGATTATATATGTGATTATATATGTGATTAGATATGTGATCAGATATGTGATTATATATGTGATTATATATGTGATTAGATATGTGATTAGATAAGTGATTATATATGTGATTAGAAATGTGGATAGATATGCGATTAGATATGTGATTAGATATGTGATTAGATATGTGATTAGTTATGGGATTAGATATGTGATTGGATATGTGATTAGATATGTGATTAAATATGTTATTAGATATATGGTTAGTTATGTGATTAGATATGTGACTACATATGTGATTAGATATGTGATTGGATATGTGTTTAGATATGTACCTAGATATGTGATTGGATATGTGGTTAGTTATGTGGTTAGCTATGTGATTAGATATGTGGTTAGCTATGTGATTAGATATGTGATTAAATATGTGATTAGACATGTGGTTAGTTATGTGATTAGATATGTGATTAAATATGTGATTAGATATGTGATTAGATATGTGATTAGATATGTGATCAGATATGTGATTATATATGTGATATTATATATGTG